GACACCAGACAACCACTGGCTGACCTATAGACCAGTGCAGTCCCTGACATGTAAGATACATTCCTTTACACCCAAGCATACCACCACGCTATCACCTCTTCAAACCCTGACACAGATCAATGTTGGCAAGGCCCACTCACTGGAAAGGAACAAGCTAATGATGCAGGAGAGAGGACAGAGCAGCAGGTACATGATCTTCCAGATCCTGGGTGTGGATGACATCGTTCACAGCTATGAAAGATGGACCATCCGACCATGCTCATCAAGTCCCAGGACCAAGCTGGTGAGAACAAAAGTAGGTAGGTGAGCTAAGAGAGGTGGAGATTAAAAGGTAGATTATTCTCAAAATCAAGCAACTTCCCCTCTTGGAAATGGACCTATGAGTTGGGCCTGCCATTGACAGTAACAGATATTCTCTGTCATGTGGTGACCTAAAGTCAGGATAATATATGCAATTTTGCTGGTGATACTCATAAGGATATTAGTCTATATGGACAACTCTAAGCATGTCTACAGGGAAGATTGTATAAATAGGATCAGCAGTGCTGAGTTTAGACTCTGTCCTGACACTAATCCACCATCAGGTAAATAAAAATCACAAAACATAATAATTTTCTTACCAAGCCACTGCTGCCACCTGTATATGGGGACACTCTTGTGGTTTTAATTGTTCCCAGGACTCTGCAGCCCAGAGAAGTGACTAGTATAACAGCCAATGGGAAGTTCTATCATTTGGTTGAAACTTGAAACAACAGGACCCATATGGAGAGGAAATTATTTTAAAAGGACCAAAATGTCTAATTTGCATAACCTATGTTTCCTGTTCCTGTTTGCACCAACTGGGTGTTATATGAATATTTGAATACTTGATGACAGATTAATATAATAATAGCATTTGCCAAAACATCTCATAGTTGAGAAGGGTTTGAACCAATTTTCACTTTCTGTTCAGGATGCCAGTATATGAAAAGAAATTAAAAGGTGCCTGAATGGGTTAAGGAAAATTGTAGTAAGTGTTAAATGTTTTTATCTTACAAAACGGCATTTTAAACATACAAGTATAAACACAGTATAAGCCCAAACTCATTATGGACAATTTTCAAAGCCCAGGCCCTTGATCCTACCCAGGCTGTAGCCATTTGCACCAGTGTTACATGTGGCCCATTATCTATGCCCTACTCTATTTACAGTTGGTGGGCTGCAAACTCTCCAGCTGAAGCTCCTACTGTATTGATCACCAAAGATCAATAAATGATCCCCATCCCAATTTTGTCACTTGGTGCAACATCTTCCCTAGACTAAGAAAAAAAAGTCAGGAGTAACCCCCAAAGGGTCTTTTCAACCCTCCACATTCAACTATGTTCACCTGTGAATGGTAGATTTCATCACCTTGTTTTTATTTAGGGCAAACTAAGCCTTGTGGAAATTGTTTCTTCTACTTCACTAGCCCACACAAATAGTCTTGTTATGACTCTCTCACTATGCTGACTGAGGTCTGTTATGGCTTACCACAGCCCCATGCACATATGCATATGAGGCAAAAACAAGTGCCATGAAGGAATGAGTTAATTAACCATCTTTCATAGGGATGAGTCAACATCCCATACTCCTAGGAACATCATCTTAGGAAATCTCACAAAGAGAACATAAATATACAAAATTCCACCATGAAAAGTCCACATTGGACTATCAGGGATGGCTTCAGCGGCTTCTTCCCCCTTCTTGGATCTCATAACTATCTTCATGCTTGTCTTTAGTGACCCAAATCACATTTATGTAATTCCTCCATCCCTTTCCTTCCTTCCCTCCCTCCATCCCTCTCTCTCTCTCCCTCCATCCTTCCCTCCCTCCCTTCCTTCCTTTCTTCCTTCCTCCTTTCCTCCCGTCTTGGATTCATCCTTCCTTTCTTTCTTATCTTATTCTTTTTGTCTTCTTTCTTCCTTTCCTTCCTTTTCTTCTTTTTTCTACTCCACTGAAATCCAAGAGGAGTTATGGAAAGAAACTAAGAGGATTCACATAGACACCATCTGATGAAGGAAGCAGAATTGGCTTAGAGATGACATCGTGAGTTCACACGTATGGGTCCATCCTGGGATCCTTTAGATATGTAGAGGAAAGTGGTGTCTTTACTGGATTAATCTTCATGAGCCTCATGCACTTGTGTGACAACAGTGACATTTGAATGTTTTATGGCTTAAGCCTGCGTGGTAGGTGGATTTTCAGACATCATGGTTCCTCCTCTGCTCTCTCCTTCTGTTTTCCACAGGTGGGTGGTCTTGGAAGCCTGTGGAGACAGCTGAATGCCAGATAAGGTCAACACTTGTTTTGCCTATCTTTTTCCAGCCACACAGGTAGGTCCCAGCAACTGGTCCACATGTGGGGCATAAATTCTTAACCTTGGAATCCTTGGCACCAGTCTTGGATTTGTCTTCTGAATACCACCATTAGGTTCCTTGAAAGTAGAGGCTGAAATGAAATCTGGGACATCTGGCATTTATCAGATGTCACACATGTCTGAGAATAGGGGGACAGTGCCTGGGTCTGCTAAGCATGTCACTCTATATGGAAGTGCCAGACAAGGCTGGAGCATGGTCCTTGACATCCAAGTCAACTGCACTTCCTCTTTCTCATCCAATGTCACTCCTGGCCACAGGAGATAGCTTCCATCCTGCATACCCAATATCTTTTCTCCTGCAGGAGTGCCACACTATCCCTGAGGGAGGCACCTCTCAGGGAAAGCCAGAGAGAGAGAGAAAGTCTCTACAAAAATGTGAAAGTCTTCCAAATCTTTCTTATAATATCCTTTCTGGGAGCCAAGGAATTCTATCTTGACTACAGTTCCTGAAACTGTACTTTTTTGGAATGAAAACTTATTCTAGCCCACACTGGGCTGAGCCATGCCTGTCAGAACTCCAAGGAGCTCTCCAACTCATGAGACCAGCAGAAGAACATGGCAGCTCATTCCATAAACAGCTGGACCTCCAGGATTCAGGATGGGTTGGAGTCAGACAACACCAGAGAGTTCAGTGCCAGTAGTTCAGGACTCGTGGGCTGACTCAACCTATGCCTTTGTATCTCAGAGAAGACAAAAATCAGTTGTTCCCACTGGGAACAGTGGTGACTGGGGATCAATCAGCTTGTGACCAGAAGCTGGATCCCATGGAAACTAAAACATCACTGGGATCCTTCCTAAGGGAGAGTAGCAGTGACCTGGGCCACTACCCAGATGGTCTTGCTTGATGACAGAAGAAGCTAAGGAGTAGTAAATCTTAGGAAGAGAAGGGCAAAGGAATGGATCCCATTTCCCAGTGCTTGGGAGGCAGTTTCAGTTTAGCATGTGGCAGAGGCAGTGGAGGCCAAATCAAGGAGTGGTGTCAGAGCCCTAATCCCAAGACTGCAGGCAGATGTACTTACCACAAACTGATCCTCATCTTCCCCACAAGATTCTCCTATACCTCCCAATAAGTATCCCCTACCAAGGCACAACTCTGTTATTGTCACTGTCACACACAGAGGCCCCAGCGTCTTCCCACAGACCCACCTCAGTGGCTTGCTTCTAGCCTCACTGCCCTATTCATTATTCCTGGCTGGGCCTAATAGCTTTATTGAAGTCACATACTGTGGCATTTACCCTTGCACTTGCCCAGCTCAGTGGTTTTCAGTTGGTTCACAGCTATGCAACAACCACTATCAGTTAATTCCAATGAATTTTCATTACCCTAAAAAGGTCACAATGATTAGCAGTCAACCTCCATTTGCTCAGCACACAGACACTAACTGATCTAAATTCTGTCTCATAGATGGGATTGTTCTATAGGCATACAAATATGCCTTCTGTGGGCAGTTCTTTAACTGTAGCATAATACCAGCATTTCTCCACGTATCTCACTTCATCTGTTACGGTTAACTCACATTCTATTACATGATTGTATCACATTCTGTGTATAGATTTTGATTTCTCTATTGACAAACAATGATAAACATATTTTTATGTTTGTTATCCTGTATGTGTTTGGGGAAAATGTCTATTAAATTCTGCTGCTTAATTGTTAATTGAAATTCTGGGCTTTTAACTGGGAAATGGGAAGAGTTCCTCGAACATTATTGATAAAAGGAAAAATAGAGGTAAATTGCTCACTGAGTTGAGATACATTGGTAGCTGCTGACACCCATAGTGGATAAGCTGTCTGGAGTATTGGAATGGGAAAATGGATTTCTGTAAGTTGAATAGTGAGTAGAGGTGCAGACAACATACTCAAGAAAAGCAACAGACGGTGTTTGAGAAAGAAAGAGAACAAAGTTTAGTAAGTAGGGAGATAGGGAAGGTCTGGAAGGAGTTGGGAGAGAAGAAAATGTTCGAAATTCTTTTAATTAAAAAGTGGAAAAAGGAACAGGAGTCTTGAGGGAGCTGGAGGGAATACAGTTAGTCCTGGAGTACATGGACTTCTGTGCTTTCTTCTTGCTTTCCTTGAACTGAATGCTTTCTTGATACAATTTATTCAATGCTCTGTCTGTCTCTCCAGTCAGTCCCTAATACTTTAAATCCAAGGATAGTCCTTCTCCTAGCCACAGTTCCAGTGTATCTAACACACAAGCACTGATCAATAAAAGATTTGAGAGTTGGGTGTACATTTCTGCATGGAAACTGTTGTCTGAATAGACCCCACCATGCCATCCAGAGAGTTGTTTGACTTGTTTTGATGGGATTCAGGAAAATGAAACTCCTTCCCCCACTGTTACAAACAGCATATTGAGCTAGCTCAGTCATGTAGGAGAACTCATTGCTTTTTCACCATATGCTCTAGTGCCAGGGAAGGAAGACTACAGCTCCCACGAGACTCAGAATGTGGGATAAGCACAGACAATAAGAATAAGCATGGAGAAGAGCCAATGGCACCTTGCATCCTACTGGTCCAGGCCCTAGATTCAGTGCTGCTGGCCATTAACAGAGTCCACCAGCTGTGTTGCAGAACATTGTCTCTTAGCTCTACTGTCCGCAGAAACTCAGTAAAAGTGGCATGCATGTTGGTACCTCTTTCTACAGTGATTACAAATCTTGAAGGTGGTTGAGACTGTTCTTCTCTTGGGTGGTCTGCTAGGAAACAGAGGAAAGAGAGGCATGAGTATAGGAGGAAGACAGACAAAGACAATTCCCAACTCACAGTTCATATACCACCTGTGAGGCTGTGAGTGTCTCTCCATAATTAACTTCTATTGTGCTGTGTATAAGCAGAGGGGACTTTAGTATGCACTGGGGTTCTATATTCTTTTTGAGATGAAACACTTTTCATCCTTTTTGCCTTCTGAGGACACAGAAGGTACTGTTTATGAGAACTGGACCCTCAGCAGACACAGAACCTGCTGATGTTTTGATCTTTGATGTCTGGATTCTTGCACTGTGTGTGATAAGTTTATACTATTGGTATGCTATCCAGAATTAAAGTACTATTTTTTTTTTATTAAAAGACTGGTTCTCATGGCTTCTTTGGGACACAGGCAAAAATAAGCATATGTGGGTCTTTGGTGTGCTGATAGATTTTATTCTTCCGTTTCCCAAGTTCCATTACAGCTTGGTTGCACTAGAGGTCTAGACGCACCCCATCTGCAAAATGTACCAAAAGAGCCTCATTTGATGCTGTTTGGAGATAAAAAGACACAAACTGTCACCACATTTGACTCTTATACTATAATATATAGTATAAAATATATGACACAAAAACATGATGTATACACAGGATCCTAATATTTTTTGCATTTCATGGTAAAAGGAAAAAGTAAGGTAAATTTGGTGAGTATTTATTGAATCTGAGTGAATGTATAGTAAGCGGTATTGTATCTTAAAGTGGTGGATAAGGAAGTAAGTGCAGGCAGTAGGGTTGGTGGAGGGAGAGGGTGGCTGGTGAAGTGGGTGCTACATAAATTTTTCTACGGAGACAAAAACATCTATCAAATACAGAGTACTGAGCAAAGAAAGGCAGACTAATGAGTTTATTGGGGTCATTTGTTAAAGCATAGGGGGCTTAGGAAGCTTTATCACCAAAGAACATGGGTGACAACTCACCCAAGCAGCATCATACCTTGCAGGCAGCTCCACTGAAAAGTTTTCTCTCTTCAAGCAATGATCTGCTGCTTACAGAACATTCGAGAGGGGCCTCATGGGTATTGTAGTTTCTGAGTTTATGAATCCCCATCTTTTCTCCAGAAGAGAATATTTCAATATGGAAGAAAGAACTACATAATAGTGCAGACATTCCTAAATCATTGCCTAAAAGCCTAAGTACAGCAAGTTGATGGAGGCTTGGAGCTGGGTTTAAGATTAGCAAAGAGTTATAGGCAATTAATGACTGCTGAGAGAAGGAGAATCAGTATTCTCCAGGGATGAGCACCATAACTGGCCATCCAACATCAAGAAGCCAACCCTAAAAGCATATACATACAAGCAAGACTAAAGGGACTTAATAGGTAACTCTCCTATCCTTCATTACAATCTCTCTAGTCTCAGCTCCAGCCCTGTAACAGACTGCCTGCTTGTCAGTGCCTCTCCTCCCACCTCACCTTCATTCCCTGGAGACTCCTCTTGGTGACCCCTCCCCTCTACTTCTAGCCCATTCCCATTTCTTTGTATTATCCACCAGATTTAGAAACACTTTCTACCTCGGATTCCAAGTAGCCACACCAGACTTGAACTCAGTCTTTCCTCCTAGCCATTCTCTACTGCTCTCTGCCACTCACTGACCTGCAGAAGCATTCTCTGTGCCGGGTAACCCACAGCCACCACACTTTCCTAAGATCTAGGAAGGTCAGGAGAAACCAATGGATGCAACCCCTCCCCCCAAAAAAAACCCACCAAAAACTAGACGAGATAGCAACACCTAGAACCACTTCAACCATCCTAACCACAGATGTGTAGATACCAGCACAAAATCACAAACATTGACAGCCAAGACAATATACTACCATTAGAACCCACTAACTCTACTGCATTAGGCTCTGAAAAGTGCAATACAGCTTAAATACAAGACAAGAACTTCAAAACACTATTGTGAATATGTTCAAGGAATTTAAAAGAGGATATGAATAAATTCCTTAATGAGGTCTGTGAAAACACAAATAGGTGAAATGAAATAATATAAACAGTTCAAGACATAAAAGTAGAAATTAAATCACTAAAGAAAATCTAAAATGAGATAAAACTGGAAATAAAAATTTTAGAAAGTCAAACAAAACATAAGAGGCAAGCTTCATCAACAGAATCCAAGACATGGGAAGAGAGAAAATGCCAGTCATTGAAAACAAGGCAGAAGAAATGGATACCTCAGTTAAGAAAATTTTAAATCTAAAAATATCTGGGCACAAAGCATCCAATAAATCTGGAGAAACTATGAAAAAAAAAACAAATCTTCAAATAATAGGTTCCTGTTTTCAAATACAATAAAAAGATACAGACTAACACACTGTATTCAAAAAAAGAATCTATTTTCTGTTGCATCCAAAAAACATCAAGAATAGAAATTACCTCAGTATAAGAGATGGAAAAAGATATTTCAAGACATTTTAATGTTACACAAAACAGGCTTCAAAATGAAACTAATCAGAAAAGATGGGAAAGACACTATATACTCCTCAAAGAAAAAGTCCACTAAGAAGATATTACAATTCTAAACACCTATATACCAAACACAAGGGCATTCAAATTTATAAAGGAAACACTACTACAGCTAAAATCTCATATCTCCGCCAACATAGTGATAGCAGCTGACTTCAATACCCCATTCTATCAATAAACAAGTTATCTAGAAAAAAAACTAAATGGAGAAATGTTGGAGCTGGTGTCATAAGCCAAACTGACCTAACAGATATTTACAGAATATTTCACCCAAACACAAATGAACATATTTTCTTCTCAGCAGCTCATGGAGCATTCTCCAAAATGACCATATATTGGTTCACTTGATGAGTCTCAACAGACACAAGGAAATTGAAATAACATCCCATTTAACCTCCACTGATTAAAGCTGGATATCAAGAACAAAAGAAACAGGAGCTTATGAACTCATGGGAACTAAACAGCTTAGTAGTGAATGAAAAATTGGTCCAGACAAAAGTTAAGAAGGAAATTCAAAGCTTTTTAGAATTGAATTAAAATGAAAATATGACATACCCAAGCCTATGGGACACAATGAAGGCAGTTCTAAAAGGCAAGTTCATAGTACTAAGTGCTTACATTCAAAAATTGGAGCAATAGCATATTAGCAACTTAATAGCACACCTGAAAGCTCTAGAACAAAAAGAAGAAATGACACCCAAGAAGAGTAGACAGCAAGAAATAGTCAAACTAGAGATCAATAAACTAGAAACAACAACAAAACGACACAAAGAATCAGCGAAATAAAGTTAGTTCTTTGAGAAAATCAAGAATATGATAAACCTTTAGATAAGTTAACTAAAATACGGAGAGAGAACAAAATTAATGTAATTAAAGATAAAGAAGGAAACATGGAAAAGACAATGAGAAAAAAATCAGAGAATCATGACATACTCTAGAAATCTCTTCTCCACCTAAAAGAAGACCTAAAAGAAATGGATAATTTTCTTGATATATATGAGTTAAATCCAGTTAAATCAAGATCACATAAACAACTTAAACAGATTCATAACCTCTAATGAGATAGAGAAAGTAAGTAAAAGTTTCTCAAGCAAAAGAAGTTCAAGGCCAGATGGATTCAGTACAGAAGTCTACCCAGTATTCAAAGAAGAATTAACACCAATTCTCTTCAAACTATTCCACAAAAGAGAAACAGAAGAGACATTGCCCAATAATTTTATAAGACCACAGTTACTCTGATACTTAAACCATATAAAGACCCACCAAAAGAAAGAGAATTATAGACCAATTTTCCTTATGAACATCAGTAGAATCCTCAGGAAATTCTTTCAAACCATATCCAAGAAATCATTTAAAAGATCATCCATCATGATCAAGCAGGATTCATTTAGAGATGTAGACAGGGCTCAACACATGTACATCAATAAGCATAATTCACTATATAAGGAAATTGAAAAACAAAACCATATGATCATGTTATCAGCTGCAGAAAAGGACTTTGACAAAATTCAACAACACTTCATAATAAAAGTCCCAGAGAGACTAGGGATATAAGAGACATACCTAACATAATAAAGGCAGTTTACAGTGATCTCACAACCAACATCAACCTAAATGGAGAGAAACGCAAAGCATTTCCACTAAAACATCAGGAACAAGATGAGGATGTCCATTCGTATCTATACCTATTGAGTAATACTTGAAGTCTTAGGGATAAAACAATTAAGATCAAGGGGATACAGTTAGGAAAGGAAGAAGTCCAAGTTTTTTTTTTTTTTTTTTAAAGATGATATGATTCTATATGCAAAAGACCCTAAAAACTCCACCAGGAATCTTCTGCAGCCAATAAGCACTTTCAGCAAAGTAGCAGCATACAAACTTACCTCACAAAACTCAGAGAAAGAAATCAGGAAAATAGTGCTTTTCACAGTAGCCTGAAAAATATATCTTGGGATAACTCTTACCAAGAAAGTAAAAAGATTTTTATAATAAGAATGTTAAGACACTGAAGAAAGAAATTGGAGATGTATAGAGATGAAAAGACCTCCCATACTCATGGATCAGTAAGATTAATACAGCAAAAATGCCCGTCCTACCCAAAGCGATCTACAGATTCAATGTGATCTTCATCAAAATTCTAACACAATTCTTTACAAATATCAAAAGGACAATTTTCAACTTTGAATATAAACAGTAAAAACAGGGTAATTAAACATTATATTGAGCTTATAATGGCTCAATAAGAAAAAGAGCCATTGAAGTTATCACTATCTTCAGCATTAAGTTGGACTGCACAGCTATATTAAAACAACCACCCAGCATAGATAGCATTGGCATTAAAGCAGATACACTGATTAATGGAATCAAATTGGAGACCCATATATAAGTCCACACACCTATCCATACTTTTTTTTAAAAAAAAAATAAAGAAGCCAGAAAATGCACTCTGGGAAAAAAAAGACATTAGCAAATAGTGCTGATCAAACTGG